CTCTCCGTCTACATTACATTCTTCGCTTAAGTACAATAAGGTCGTGTCAATCAACTAAAGTAACACTACAAAACACTCCCCGCTCTTATTCGCTGCATGCTGTCACTTACTAACATTACATTACGCACAACTACTTCACCTTTTCTCCACCTCTTCTGGGCTGGCGTTTTATCGAATTAATTATCCGTGTCCTTAAGTGCATTTATTTGTGAGAACTCGGAAAGAAAAAAAAAGCCATATTCAGGGACTACACCACGGAGAGAGGAACATCATCACTGTAGCTAGATATTAAGTATGTAGCTCATATCGAAGCGTTTTTTCTCTCACCAAATTATGGAGACATCGACAGTTTTTACTAGAACACTGCACAATTTAGTGTGACTGAGTCCTTGAGACGGTTTGAGTAAAGATTGTGTACAGAAGAAAGAATTATTTTGAAATAATTGAAAATTTGATTAAATAAATAAATAAATGAAACATTGATCAAATTCGTAATTGAATAAATAAATAAATAAATAAATAAATAAATAAATAAATAAATAAATAAATAAATAAATAAATAAATAAATAAATAAATGGACATAAAGGATAACAGGGATAGAGAGAGAGAGAGAGAGAGAGAGAGAGAGAGAGAGCGAGAGAGAGAGAAGTAAAAGGTGTAAATACAACGATCTATTTAATCTATAGCATTCATTTCATTAAGCCATTACAATGTGTACTGGTCCCATAGGAAGTTCACTTAAGTGAATACAGATCACTTTTTATTCCATGAATTATAAAAACTTATTGTTATTAAAACATAAACGAGCCTCAGTACATTGTATCTGATATGTAAATGTGTCGAACCACGGGAAGTGATCTCTGTTTAGGTGGAGCCCTGGTGCCAAAAATAACACCATGGACTTCAGAATCCACCATTATCAAATCTCTCAATTTCAGGAGGGCGAGCGAGCATATATACATATACCAATTGGTAAAAGACGTTTAATACGTGTATCTCAATTTCGGGGTGTTTGATTCATGTGCAAGGCGATGTCGTTAGGTCACCGAAGGTCACCCGGGGGGAGGGGGGGAGGGAGGGGGTCGGGGGGGGGGGTCATGGGGGTGAGAGGGTACAGTGTGTGTCAAGTTCAAGGGGCGTATTGACATCTGATCTTCGTGAGGAATGAATGTACCCGCGTCAGGACATGGCGACTGATCAATGAAGAGATTAATACACAGATTAATGAAAAAAAGAAAGATGAACCCTTGTGACCGGCGAGGTTGTGAGCGGGTGAAGTTAAGATTGTCACCGTTTTTCTTAACTTGGCTTTCAGCAAACACTTAACTGCTAATTATATTTATTTGTAACTATCTATAGGCTTCAATCGGTCAGACGGATACATGAACCAAAGACCTGTTGATGGTATCATATGGAAATGAATACATAAATACATGAATAAATGGCCTAATCATGTGTTGCCTCTTCCCTCTCGCCGAAGTTCATTTTATGACACAGGTGTGCGCAGGTGGAAAACTTAAGGCGGCATTGCACTAACACCCAAACACACACACACACACACGCAATCACATTCACACACAAAGTGAACAGGGGAAGTGCCTTTTACAGTGTTAGCACAACGAGTACATTTACATGATAAAGGAGAAATACCCTCTCCTATAAAAAACGTTCTTAACTTATCAAGCAGTCTTGATTATTCTTATTATTCATTTACCCCCAGTAATAAAACAATTTATCTATTGTTTCTTGTCTTGACGTGCGTGCCATTTCCAAGATCGTAGTTAGATGAAACTTGTTGATAGAAACAAGCTGGTGATTTAAACGACAAGAAATTCATTATGTTCTTCTCGCAATTATCTGAAAGAGACGCGTTTTTGAAGTACATGTACCCCGCAGCTATCCCGCGTATTGTAGCTGTAGCCAACCTTCTCACAACTTCAAAAACTGTTTGAAGTCTCTGCTGGCGTGAAACGTAGGCAAACACTCAACACAACGCATTCAAGTGTACTGACAGCTGTAACATTCTTTAAAAGAAAAAAAGTACAATCTGTTCCATCTTGACGTCACGTCATATCGGTCCTCATAGACTGACCATGGTGTCGCCAATTCAATCAAGCTTAGTGTTTGGTATTTTCTAATCCTGCGGACAGCCCGTCATTTGTTCGGTGTTTTTATAACACTGAGGGTGTTCAGTACATATATTAATAAGTCAGTACGCCTACTTTGGACCGTCTGGTTCAGTACAATACAGCACGAGAGAGGATTCCTACAGGGGACTTTCCAGTGCATCCAAATATTGACTAGAACACGCACACACGCACACGCGCGCGCACACACACACACACGTTATCTCTCTCTTTCTCTCTCTCTCTCTCTCTCTCTCTCTCACACACACACACACACACACACACACACACACAAAATTCACCATCCACACACAATTTGCGTTCACACTAAATTACGCCTTTCAGTGCAGTCACGCACGTTCACACGTAGTTTCCCATGCTTGCACACACATAGCCATGCACGAACGCACATGAACATGCAAACAGACACGTGTTATTTAAGTCTTTACAGTGAAGCCGTTTACTTAATATCCACCTTCAGAGAATGCAGTAGACGAAAAAAGAAAGATTAAAAGGGAGCAAAGCTGCCTATTATAACTCTTATCTGCCGAGGAGTTATCATTATTGACGCCTAGGCCTATCATTTCTAAAGGAACGCCTTGGTCACAGCACATACAGCTGTCAGTTAACGGGACTTAAGGCCATTTTGTGATTTGGAGCGGAGAACTTTTCCATTATGTGAAAACAATTCTTCTGTGATAAAACTATTTAATTGACATTACTATAATTGTAAATTGCCTTATGCTTGCTGGACTATGACTGTGAAAAACTCAAGGAGCTAGTATATGTATGAACACAAAGAACTGCCTCCATTTTGACACCAAATATGACTGTTATACTGAATTTTACATGTAAAATAAGAGAGGTTATAAATGTATTATTCTTTCATGGCCAGGCGAGAAGCTGAAAAAGGTGTTTATAGGTGGCATATTTACGATCCGAAGAGTATGGAGTGTAAATCTGCATGACTTGGGAATCCCGCTACGAGAAAGCCTGAGAGGGTGAACGAATGTGAAATGTCTTTATTGTTGGCAGGTTATTGGTATATTTTACGCGGTATACCTTCTTTAACAAACTCCGTTCAAAGTCAGTGTATGCCCTATCTTAAACCGTTGAAAAATATGCATAAAACCTGTTTTGTTTTTAAAAGTGATCATTTTTACCATCATACGAGAAAAATTCACTAACAAGGAACTGGTGGGTCATAATTTTTCGACCATTTAAGGATATGCTCTATCTTAGTGATTAAGGGCAAATTTGAGGATTTTCGAGAAAATTGTAAATTTTGCTATATAATGGTCTAGAGTACATCTGAGTTATTTTACCCGAAGAAAGAAGTTCACAAAGTCTGTAACGTATGGACATACATGTAATATACATTCCGCCCTTCAAAGTCTGGCAGTATCTTGATATCTAGCCTGATATAATTTTAGATATAAGCCTGTATAAAATGGTGTAATTGTATAAACATATGAAGAGCAAGGCTCGTTATAGACAATGTTTTGCTGAGTAATACAAAAGAGTACTTTATCACCGTGCTGATCTTTAATTTGAAGAAAATTTCTCAATTTCAGGCTTGTTTCAGTTGTAAATAGAGGCCCCTACATGTAGCATCTTGTACAAGTGATAATTTGTCTGTGTAATGGCGGAAATAGGCAGCATTCCTGGCCAGAAACATGGGAAATAAAGGCTGAGAAGGGGCAGGGAGGAGGGGGCTAGACAACAATTACAATTGTATCAGGGTCCCTTCATGTCTGCGGATAATGCGCCACTCAAGTCATTACAGTGTCTTGGAAGAACTTTCCCCGCGTAATTATAAATTGTGTGTAGCTTTGTATTCTCGCACTAGACGGTGTGACTGCTAAATCAGGAGGTTAACGCCGTGACGTCATTACCCGCATAATTACATCATCTCTTCCTACCCAGGAAGTTTAATTATAGTTTTAAGGCCGCATTCAGATCGAGTTGAGCCATGGCTCTACAAAGCCACGACCTTAATATGGCGGACGTACATGGAAGGAAAACTGCCTTATCTTTGGGGGGTACAGTCATTAAATCTCGTCTCCATTCGCCCAGAAGCTGGGGAGGCGTGTGAGAGGTGATTTGACCGAGATTGAGAGTAAAATAGTGTACTGGTTGGTTCCGTGGCTCAGTTGGTAGAGTTCTCACACGCGGCCTGAACGTTCTGACCACCACCCCTATACGACCTGAGAGGCTAACTTCCAACTTCTCACGGCCCCAAAAATGATTATTTGGGGAAAGAATACATTCGTGTTGTGCGAATGTATTTGTAGTGCATATCGTCATACATCCGGGACTCAATCACGCGGTTTTCCAAAGAAATAAGATGCCCTGGAGAGGAAAAAAAAAAAACAGGTTTTATAGGGGCTTGGAAACTTGATTCGGTAATTATAACTAAGTAATTTAAGGCAAATAAAAAACAAAAGATATACAGCAGAAACTTGACAAGTGTTAGTGCTTATCGAACTCCTGTTTCCTGCAGACTTTCGGAGAATCGTGTTGTACTGGCAGTAAACAGGATGTGATCACTTTGTGATTGTGTATGTGTTCAAGTATGAAGGCTGAAAAGGCGAAAGAAAAGAACAGAGCACATATCCCAGCGCAGCTGACTCAACAATTCTTATTAAAATTACAAGGGTAATAAGTTTACATGTCTGGAGAAATAGTTGAAATAGTTGTCGTGGATGAAATGGAGCGTACCCTAAAATTCAGGGCTCAGTATGTTTTGCTGTTTTAATAATAAATATCAGAGGTGTTAAGTTTTAAACTCGTCCGTATCCCCCATTCCTTTTATTGCTAAACAGTGCCGCTGCACGGCAAAGAGCGCCATAGATTACAACTCTCAGTCCACAATGCAGGCAGGACGTTTGCTTAATGTGTTGATACTGGCTACGTTCGCCAAACTGGTAAGCCTCTCTCTCTCTCTCTTTCCCTCTCTCTCTCTCTCTCTTTCTTTCTCTCTCTCTGTGTGTGTGTGTGTGTGTGTGACTGAGACACGATGCACTTTTTTGCTATGTATGGTTTCCTCAAGCCACCACATATGATACACAACAAGTATGTTCTTACCGAAGAAAGTAAAAGCAATGGCGACAAGTGTGGTGATATACAAAATCTCTTATTCAGAGATTACTCTCGCTAGCGTTGGTTGGAGGGTTAGATTACTGATTAGGAAAAAAGCATGTCCATGTTAAGCGGTCAACATTACAATGCGATCCAATTTTCTGACGACAATCTCACACGGCGTGATCCCGGATGCTACTGTAGCATCCACTAAACTAAACAAACTAAAAAATTAAACGTATTCGTTGTTTGTGAAATTTACCACTGTTTTTATTGTAATTTGAACATGAGTACTTAAATTTCAGCTTCATGGTAATACTAAAGTTTTTCAGAATATGACCCAATATTATCCAGTAGTGACCTTTGTTATTTGTATGTCTGTAATTCAACTACGGGCGTTATAACTGACTTATATTCTGTAATTCAAACTGACTCATACAACTAAATGCTTCTCAAGATATTTCCCTTTTATTATTTCAGGAGACATGCGGCAGAACAAGTAAGTTTAATTTATCACGGAATGTCAGATCGTTGCAAATAGTTCGTTTCATTGTTTTTTAAACTTTCGTAAGTGCATGTCCATTCAAAAAAATCCCGATAAGTTTGTGTAAGCAGACAGGCTCGCCTCATTATTTCAGCTGCGTGGGCTTAAATGGCGAATATTCAGGCCAACTTTCAGGGTTTCATACCCATTGCATTATAAAGATGCTACATGTGAAAATATTTTATTGTAATGTGTGTTGTCATAAGGTGTAAATCAATTGATCATGAAAAATCTTTTTACAAAAGCTTTTTAAAGATATATATTCATTTATATATTTAGCAATACTTTTCTTAGAACTATGATAAAAAATCTAATTTGTTTTCAATCTTGATAGAAATTTGATCACATTAAGGTAAGAAGCGAACAGTTGTATATATACTTACAGTTATCATTTTTACAAAAGACGCGTGACAGGTTTTCATTTTTATGTAGAAAAACCTGTATGCAAGTTCCAGATAGGTGTAAATATTTTTCATTTTTACATAATAATTTAATAGTGTGATATGAATGATGTTTTTTTTTTAATCTAGCCAAGAGCCCGTGTGACATTAACAATGGTCAGTGCAGTGACCTGTGTGTCCCGTATCCAAACTACAGAATACCGTACGACAATCTTCCTTCTGGATACTACTGCGCATGTCCTAGAGGGAAAATGACATTCAGGGGGACTCTTTGTTTGCGTAAGTGTAGAAATGTGTGTATGTAAGGGTGGGGGTGGGGGTAAGTGAGAGTGTGGGTGAGTGGGTGTGTGGGTCGGTTTGTTTGGTGAGCTGATTGGGGTTGTTTTGTGAATGCTCGATGTATGTTAATTCTTATTTTTAGTTTTGAGTCATGTATTCAAGGTGTTCTCCATGAAGCTTGAATAGGTTGTTATTTAGGTTTTGAATCGCACAGCTGAATAGCTACGTATTGGTTTATTTATATCTATTAATACGTGAAGTGCGTGTTTATATTCCACAGCCATATTCTAGAATTAATTTTATTTGAAGTACAAAACGAACATATTAAAGTATGATTACACACAGTTGTAGGACGATTAAATGAAATGTTAAAGCTCAAGTAGTTTTGACACAAACCCTAGGCATTTTAAAATATTATCTTATAGTTTCTTTTTTTTTTTACAGCACGAAACCATCCCTGTTTTAATAACCGCAATTGCAGATACTCTGAAAAATGTGTCCCCACGGGAAGCCGAGACGGACACGGTTACAGATGCGACTGTAGGGAGAGCTATATTCCCAGAGAAAATGGAATCGGATGCCGGCGTAAGTTTTTGTGCCATGTTCGAAGTATTATGTTTCTACTGTGTTTGTGTTCCCTTGGGGTATGCAGGGTNTCAGATTTTTGAATGTTTTTTGGGGGGAGTCAGATTTACATGGTACACCGGGCCTCTGAGGCCCGGTTTCAAGGTTTACGTAGGGTTCCATTTCCTTGTGGATGAGGGTTAAAAAAACTTACATAAGTATTTTCTTTGAAGCATGGATACTTCGTTAATGTCGTTTCAATACCAAGTCCCATATCATCCTCACTCAGGAGTGCCACTTGGTGTGGTCGTGTGCTCCTCAGCAACGCCCTTACATGCTTCCAGTTTTTCTTAGTCCAAGCAGTCTGCAGTTCCTGCACGTGACGCTCTACATCCTCAGGACTTTCTACATGTTGCTCAACTACTGGGTTCTTTTTCTGAAAAAGTTGACTTTTTTTCATAAAAACTTCATGAACCTAGATCAAATTTTACCTAGAGTGGACCTTTTCCCACCAAAAGGGGTGGTTCTTTCGAACCCCCCGAACCCCCCCCCCCCCTGGCTACGGGCCTGTCCTTTGATTAACTAAGCATTTCTGTTTTTTATTAAAGCACCGTTGATCTCCAAATATTATAGTTTTTCTTCCCGCCTTCGAAATGTTCAGCGCAAACGCGGTGCCCAGCTTTTGATCCAAACCTGCTATATTTTCCTTTCTTTCTACCATATTTTTCATTCTAACGGGTTTGTTGGAAACTTATTAAATCTCATGTGTCGATCTCGCTTACTGTTATTGTAGCAGCGGGACAAAAAGCACGTAAACCCAGCCATGGTTTTCAGCACCGCTGTAAGTGTTTCGGCGTAGCAGGGCTCCCATACCCACAATGCAAGTTCCATTACCGGAAAAGATGAAATAGGTCTATAACACTGCCAATTTCATGGACCGTGGTCTAAATAAGAGAGAGCCCTCGTCAGCGGGGGTTATGTAACATCCACATAACCCACATAACCCTCGCTGACTCGGGGTCTATCTATTACCAAAGAGTTACAACTCCTTGCTATTACATAGATTGCACTTGAAGTTACCTGACATAGTTAAAAGGTGTGGAATATGGAGTGCCTACACTACTGTAAACCCTAACACTACAAATCCCTGTAATGTCCAGAACAAAATCCACCCAAACAGTAATCACTTCGTTCAGAAAGTTTTACAAAAGGACGAATTACTTTCAGTTTGACTAAACCGCACGCCGTTGCAGCAGACAAGAATCGGAGGTAAAACTGCTCATGTAAGAATAGTGCACATGCTTCACCTTGCGGTGAAACCATGTATTAATGTTCGTGTTCTAGAATGTGTCGGAGATCAGAACGTTGTGTTCTGATTTGGAACACTGACTTGGTGTGTTAAATTTTATCAAGAAGAAACAATTTTCAAACGGGTTAACATAACAACAGACATTTTTGAATCACTTTTATTTTAATAATTTCTATTGAACAGGGCTATTTTCGGTACATTTTAATAAACATTGATTCAATTATGCCAGAGTGCCGTATGACGCTGTAAATCGCCGTAGTTGCTAACTACATGTACGAAGGGACGGCACTCAATTCCAAAACATTGAATGTCCTAAAACATTTTAGCACACTATAAAAAAAAAAACATTTTCTTACTTGGAGCCTATAACGAAATTATACCACTGTGGATATAAACACCACACGTTCTCAAAATGAACACAAAAAAACGCCAAGTATTCTGATGAGAACAGAAATGTATTCTGACGAGAACACAAGGTGTTCCTTATTAGAACACAGCGACGGATAATAGAATATATGCTACGCGTCGTTGCGTTCATTTACTTCAGAGTGTAGGCATTTTAAAATATTACTTTAAAGTTTCTCTTTTTTACAGCACGAAACCATCCCTGTTTTAATTACCGCCATTGCAGAAGCTCTGAAAAATGTGTCCCCACGGGAAGCCGAGACGGATACGGTTACAGGTGCGACTGTAGGAAGGGCTATATTCCCAGAGAAAATGGACGCGGATGCCGGCGTAAGTTTTATGTGCCCTGTTCGAAGTATTATGTTTCTACTGTGTTTGTGTTCCCTTGGGGTATGCAGGGTTTTGCACATCCCCCCACCCCCTCACCGCCACCGTGCTTTATTCGTTTCGCTGGCAAAGCTACAGCAGTAGATATATGTACATTTGATATCATGTAATATTAAAAGAGCGAACTAAACCAGCAATTACCTTAAAATAACCCCTAGTCCATTCTTATCAACATTAAATACAGTTGCCCCTGTGAGACGCACTACGCCAGCACAGACTACGGAGGACGGGGGCCAACGACGGACTCTCAGGACCAGAATAACCCCAGCACCTGTCTTCACTAATCTAACCACACCTGCGCACACCGCGGCACCTCACCCTTGTGACGTCAACAATGGCGACTGTGAGCACATATGTAGGAGAACATCATCGACGATACGTGTCTGCGAGTGTCGTCTAGGTTATAGGCTGTACACCGACGGTGTATCATGCGAGGGTAAGACAGAGCTTCTATTCAACCAGTGTTCGCTGGTTTCCTTGTTTAAAAGTTAAAATATTTTGAATTTGTTTTTAAAATGTCTGTATTTTGTGGATACTCGTATACGGTTTGCAGGTAAGATTGGCAGCTTTTCGTTTCGTATATTCCAAATTAGTTCACTGGAAAGGGATTCTCATTGGCTTGGAGCTGAAATCTTAACGCTCTAGCACTTTTTTAATCAATAAAAACATTGGCCTGTAGCTATTTTCATAATTGTATATTACATTTGGCCTGTCGCTATGGCCCGAATCCTGAAGTCCACGCGTTTCATAGCATTAACGGCATTGCATTGCCGGCATAGCATTGCGAGTGTCGTCTAGATTATAGGCTGTACACCGACGGTGTATCATGCGAGGGTAAGATAGAGCCTCTATTCAACCAGTGTTCGCTGGCTTCGTTGTTTAAAAGTTAACATATTTTGAATTTGTTTTTAAAATGTCTGTATTTTGTGGATACTCGTATACGGTTTGCAGGTAAGATTGGCAGCTTTTCGTTTCGTATATTTCAAATTAGTTCACTGGAAAGGGAATCTCATTGGCTTGGGACTGAAATCTTAACGCTCTAGCACTTTTTTAATCAATCAAAACATTGGCCTGTAGCTATTTTCATAATTGTATATTACATTTGGCCTGTCGCTATGACCCGAATCCTGAAGTCCACGCGTTTCATAGCATTAACGGAGACTGCACTTGTTTTGCAAACACTCAGCGTTTTCCGGGATATTGTTTCTCTGGCACTCCAACCCCCAGAGTATCAGAGTAGTGACCTGCAGTGACTCATCTCGATCTGACATTTTCCAAAAACATAACTTGCTTCACCACTTATTGAGCAGTATTGCTTACCATATCAATGTTTTTATAAACGTAACTAAAATAACAATCAACAATCTGTTTACATCGATTCTTGCAGAAGCAGATCCTTGTGAAGACAATGGCGGGTGCAGTGACGTCTGCATAGCTAACTGGCCTTCTCGCACATGTAGCTGCCGTGTTGGTTACAAGCTTGACGGTGACCAAAAGACATGCATAGTAAACAAAATATTCATTTTCTCCTTATGCGCACACATATTTACTTTTGTTCATTTTTAGCAGTTTTTTTTTTACAAAATTTTCACAATCAGCACACATTGTGCTCCTTTATTCGTATTATTACCGCCGCCAGGGAGGTTATGTTTTCATCCCTGTTTGTCTGTTTGTTTGTCATCAACATAACTCAAATTTTGATGAAATTTTCAGGAACTGTCAGAAGTGGGCCAAGAAGAGATGATTAGTTTTTGGAAATGACCCGGATCAATAATCATGACGTTTTTGCTGGGTTTTAATACTTATAGTTTCCACAACGACAATTCTAGAAGTCGGCGTGACGTCACAAGATGGCGACCGATTAACAACCATTTGTTTGGGGGATGATTTGATGCGACTTCCGGTTTCGCCTCATAGTTTGTAGTGGACGGGCGATAAAAAATTGCTCATCAAAAAAGAGTTGTTTGCTATATTTAAACAACTTTTAACTTCACAGCAGCGTAACAGTATGAGGGACTATCCCCATAAGCATAGAAGAGATAAAAAGAGAAACTAGAGCTTAGCATTTTGGAGATTTCCGTACAAATTTCCCTCAGACGCGTGGGTGAACGATCGCAAGGACAGCGAAAGAAAATCTCCACACTATCCCATATCCTTGATAAAAGTCAAATGGAGAGGCTTGTCCATGCCTTTATAACTTCACATCTTGACTACGGAAACAGTCTACTATATGGTCTTCCTACCTACTATTGAAAAATTGCAATCTGTCCAGAATGCTGCAGCACGACTACTGACCAAAATCCCTCTCAGATCAAACATTTCACCCATTTTATTCGAACTACATTGGCTTCCTGTACGACAGAGAATTGTTTTTAAATTACTGTTGTTTGTTTTTAAATTCATCAGAGGTGAATGCCCCTCATATTTTAACTCGATGCTACATCCAAGTACACCCAGTCTCACCAGGTCTACCAGATCCACCTCCACTCCTTGTTTTATCAGAAATGATAATAAAAAAACAACCAAAACCTACGGCCACAGGGCATTTTCAATTTCAGCACCAATTTTATGGAATCAGTTACCCTCACACATTCGGACTATTGACAGTGTTGAGGTTTTTAAAAAAGATTTAAAAACATTCTTATTTGCACAGTNACTGTTGTTTGTTTTTAAATTCATCAGAGGTGAATGCCCCTCATATTTTAACTCGATGCTACATCCAAGTACACCCAGTCTCACCAGGTCTACCAGATCCACCTCCACTCCTTGTTTTATCAGAAATGATAATAAAAAAAAACAACCAAAACCTACGGCCACAGGGCATTTTCAATTTCAGCGCCAATTTTATGGAATCAACTACCCTCACACATTCGGACTATTGATAGTGTTGAGGTTTTTAAAAAATATTTAAAAACATTTTTATTTTCACAGTATTTTAATTAATATTTTCTCATTTTATTAAAAAAGGTTTTATTGTTCAGACCATTACTATTTTAACCAGCTTTAATTATTTTAATTGTTTTTTACCTTAGCTTTTATTATCTATATAATAAGTTGTTATATAACTATATAATATTTTTAGCTGTAAACAGCACTGAGACGGTAGTTTAGTGCGGTTTTAAGAAATAAATATTATTATTATTATTATTATATATATTACTTAACCGTATAAAATGTAAATGGTGTAATAAAATTCCGTTAAGAGCTTCAATTCAACCTTCTCATTTTTTTCACTATCACTGAGCCTTTTATATACTAAGTATAACTTTATCATTTAAAATGTCAATCAGAAAAATCATAAACTTCAAATCAGGGTGGACAGACACAAGGACTCGTTATAACTTATAATTGAACTCGAAAACATGATTACCAGGCTTGAAACATGAGCAGTAAGATTTATACTTAAATATAAGGTATGGAATATTATTTAAAGCTACATTTGTTCTTATTCTAAATTCCAAATTTGTGAATTTTACAAAGAATGCCTCAAGAGAATGAAAACCATAAGATCCACTGATTAAATTAATAAGAAGATTTAAACGTATTATTTGGTCCATTACACATTCTTCCTTTTCTCACCTAAAATAATATATTTATGTGAAATTTTCTAATGACAAATAATTAAAAAATCATATTGTTTCAATTAAAGATAAAAAAGGAAATCCTGAGGAAATTGATAAAGGTGTGACAAATTCTGTCATATGTACCCACAGGACAGTTGTACATGAATACCATTTTATACTTGAATGCGACTATAATGCACAATATATTAAAACAGACAGTAAAATCTCAATCCTTAAGGCCGATACAAGGTCACCAGAAAGTAAATAATGCAAAAAAGTGTCTAACAGTGACAACAAGGAAAATTTGCCCTCCCTTGCAAATTTTATTATAAAATCATTTAAAAAAAGTTAAGTTATTGCTCTACTTGCTATTTTAAAGAAATTGAACGATCCAATAGTTTGATATACGATCTAATCAATGAATTATTTTCTCATTTAGTTGGCAGTTATTATTTGTTGACTAAATTAAACATTTAGTTATTTCGTGTTTTACTCGCTTTTTTCTCATTTTATAGTAAATACATATATGTGCAATTCAACTTAAAATTGCAAGAATAAATATAAATGTTATTATCATAAATAAACTAGCTTTACTATAAAGTCAGTATTACGAGCTTTCTGTTCTGAATTTTTCTTTAATTATAAAAAATAGGTTTTATCCGCTTTTAGGGGAGCGACACGATAGAGTTATCGTGGCTCAAAATTTAGAAATATTTAATGTGTATCGTTTATTACTTTAACTAGGTAGACCGAAAAAGAATAAATTACACTCAATTAAGCTCATGTAAAAATCTTGTGAAAGCGATGCGGTAGTTGTGACACCGGTATTACAACCTAGTATGCTCTGATCAATTTGAATGTTAGAGTGGATGTTGGTTTTAGCGCATTTTGTCCGTTTTGATGCACCGGCGGAACGCCTTCCTTGCGACATTTTTCTCTCTTTGGCCGTGTTCTCTGTCACAAGTGTGTGTTGGCTTTGCTTTGTTTTTTACTTGAATCGTGTTTGTTAATGATGCGGTATCAGAGAGAGAGAGAGAGAGAGAGAGAGAGAGAGAGAGAGAGAGAGAGGAAGGGAGGGGGTTTAGATCGCCCACCTGTAATAAAGATGCACAATCACACAAACTGTTAAGTGGCCGAACAACAAGGCTTAACTTGCGCATTTCTCTCTGATATATAAAATGCATTCCTTGTTTAGAGGAACGCTAGAGCTTTGTATAATCCACTAATGAGTTTTTTTTTTTTTTTTTTTTTTTTTTGTTAAAACAAAGAGACGGATGTCTTGTATCTGCATGATTTTATCTTTACGTAAACCCAACATGGAAAATATTTTTACTCGGACAGTAAAAGATTCTATACACGTTTTAGCTGATTCCACGTTTTAATAGTCACAAGATAAATAGGTGACAATATTGTTGACAAACAATTGTAGACATGCAGCGGTGACCACTCAATGGACAACGTCCATGAAAGAGCTATTTGAGACCGAATACGCTTTATAAAACGCATTGTGATATCAACATTTTAATATTATTGCTGCAAAGCAGTTTATAATTATACCGAGTCCGTTTAATGAACAAATATCTACGATGAAGGCCGCGTTTGTTTTCTACCCTTGGATTCTGAAACCACTGAACATGTTCCAACGATTAGTCAGCCTCGAGAGCGTGCGGCTGGCCACGGCGGCCGACGGGAACTCATAGATGAACTTCTCTTTCGGTTCGGAAGCCATAGACTCGACTTCTTTTCGGGCAGAACTGTTGGCTTGGTTGACGCCGTCTCCGATGGGCACCACGTAGATGAGGACGTTGTCCCCTGCAACATAATACACTCCGTCTTTACTTGTAGATGATATAGTTCTCTCTCTTCCCTCCTCTCTCTCTCTCTCTCTCCGTCCCCCCTCTCCCTCTCTCCGTCTCTCTCTCTCTCTGTTCCCCGTCTCTCTCTCTCCGTCTCTCTCTCTCTCTCTCTCTCATGCACAACTACAGAGCTGTAAACCAAAAGAATCGCTAATAGTGACATTTGACCAAAATGAACGAGAACTCCAATAGGTTTACATCTTGTGAAGCCCCATATAAATTAACCTGGCAGTTTTTGACACCAAAGTAACCGTTAATATAAGTCGTTCATTATTTTACATTGGAATGGAGGCAGAGGAATATCCACGTCCAGGGAAAATACTGCCTACGAGTACATGATAAGCATGTTTTACAAGGACGTTCCCATATAGCGCTAAGGGGTTGCATAATAATAATAATAATAATAATAATAATAATAATAATAATAATAATCATCATCAACCCCCAGGGGTACAAGTAGTTGCCAGAGCAGTCACCTTGGAAATATCTACGCTATTGCTAATACTGTACTTTAAAATTGTTAACGTTTAAGATGGAAAGGAAAGTGCAGTCACAATACTAACGCCTTAAGGCTGCGGCGGGGATCCCCGGTTTGGGCTGCACGTTAGACTGACCATCCGTGAGCACCCAAATCATCTTCACTCTGCTCGGGTCGCTGCCTTGGAACACCTCTTTGGCTTTCTCCAGGGCTGTTCCCGTAGCTGTCCAGCCTCCTGAATTAGATATAAAATATTCAGTGCTCTTTAAAATGGATAAATACACAGTGGGTAAATCAATGTACGATTAGAGGGTAAACAACTTTTCGTATTTGACAAATATGTTTTTTCCCGGATTAAACGACAATTTTCACATATCCAAGGTTATTCAAAATTAGTAGTTGTTTTTTTTTTAGAACACCTTTTTTGATTGTTTTTGTAATAATCTCTTAGACCCCATTCCCACAGATATTTAGATCGATCTATACCCCTGTTGAGTCTCACTAGATTGGTGTCAGATTAAGCGGCTTAAATATCTGTCCCGCCTACTAAAAGCTGTAAAGGGGTAATTAACTACCATGCGTGATCGGCTGACGGCAATTTAGCGTGAACCCCCAGGGAGTTAGGTCGATCTAGTTGGATCGATCAAAATCTCTGGGAATGCGCTCTTAGAGATTATCACAGAGAGTAAGTACCTATGGAGGCAAGCACAGATCCCAGAATAATTTGCGACAACCGCTGTTTTGGAGGTAAGAATGGAATTCGTGTTATTTTAATGAGCTGTTTACAAAGTATTTATTTGGAAGGGATCTCTTACTAAGAGATGTTAAGTAAATGAATGACTGACTGACAACATAAATTAATGTATTTAATTAAATGAAATAAAATGTCATAAGGGATTGTTTTAGGGGAGAAATGTTCTCAAATAAAATGTCCTTTTACATCTTTAGAGAGCAAACGATCTATAATGTATAATAACATAACCTGAAAGATTCAAAATTTAAGTTTATGATCAAAATCATCAGAATGAAATACTACTGTGACTTTTAACTTAAAAGGCTCAACGGCTGGTTACCTTTATCATGAGTGAGGGCATCGATCGCCAACTTGACCTGGAGTTCAGTTGTTTTGGCGCCAAAACCAAACTGCATATTGGTTTGAGATATTTGTGAAAACTTCATGACAGCGATGCGTGATCCACCCGGCTGTATGGGGGTCTGGTCGTGTACCACGGTCACGACGTCCTGGAAGATACCAAATAAATAAATAAATAAATAAATAAATAAATAAATTAAATTAAAACACCCTACCGAACGAATGTTTTTGCTATTAAACTTCCATATAATTTAATTGAATTATGATCTACATGTATAGTATTACTGGCATCGATTTTATTACAATAAGGTGGATAGCTTTCCCAATTATGTAGTTTCTCATTAAAAAGTCATAATCTCACACTCATGAAAAACAACTCTTTTACTTATACCGTTTGGCTTCCTTATACTGCTACTGCATTTCGTAATATGGTGCACGCTGTAAGAAAATGTAGTCTCTCCCCCCTCCCCTGATGACGACACATCCTGTAACTGTAAAAGGCACATTTTCTTGTCTACTAGTACGTATATTTACTTAATCTACAACGTAATTTGTGGCACTAACCTTCATAGCCTGCTTCAGGGCGTAAAACTCGCTATCTAAGATGCTGCCGCTGCTGTCCAACAGAAACAAGAGGTCCACTTTGAGGATACCTGAACCTGAACCTGAGGCGCCACTGCGGTGAAGTCCTCGGAAATCCCCTGACGGACGCAGACGGCTGATGAAGCCAGACCTTATAGCGGATTCCACGTCCTGCTCGCTTCTGTACACACTCACTGTTAGGATGGAAGACAGACGAGTTAAATCATGTCCCAGGCCGTGCTAGCTGTCACATAATTGGGAAGGGCAGTTTGGTGCCAGCTAGAGTTGCCACTGGTACAGAACAGTTTAAGGTCGCATTCAGAACAGATGATCCGCGGATCAACTTGTTCTGAACGCGCTCTAACACCAACATGTCAAGCATACACCCTGTACATCGAAATAAGTTATATAAATATAAATGAACAGTTTGACTTCCATCAATAGAATGGTCAATCTAATGACCAACATTATCACTCTCTTAATGTTACACAGTGGGCAAGAATGCGTTTGAAAGATTAAAAAGGTGTTTATGTCCTTTAAAGATTTTAAGAAAATCATTGCAGACGTAAGCCAGGGCCTTGCATTTGCCAGCCTGATTTAAAACAGCTTCACAAGCCATGAATAACTATAGGCACACCTTTTCATAAATGTGCACAATGGCATATTGTTAATTTTGATGTCTAAATGGCAGCTACAGGTACCCAGGCTCGTTTTGGGACAAAATAAACAAAAAATATATAGCGGTAGGCGCATCCTTTCTATAAGTTAAATGAAAACAAAATTCTAGACAAATGCATCTTTGATAACGGTGTATAAGTGATATGTACATGTAAATGTATAATAAAACAGCACTAAGTTAAATGGATAAGAAATGAAAATAGAAAAAAAAAAAACAAATACCTGAATTCACCATCACCACGGCTGCGACCATTGCCAAACATACCCCAGCAACATTCGTACTCCACATATTCTCTTCCTGACCTGTAACTTCTGTGATGTCTTTATCCTCTGTTCAAACAACAGTGAAGCGTGTGCTACTTGTGAAAAGGCTTAAATATGTGAGCTGTTCCCAGAACTCCTCTCCAAAACAGGATACGTCTAAGCTTGCAGCCTCCTCATTATACTTCCTACCAGTGTTGTTTTAACGCAGAGGCCGACTGTTGTGTCTGTTGTGTCATGTTACACGCTACACAGTTGCTTGAATTCTATAATACTGCTCAGAGATATGGGGCTACTCTGTGTCAACGGATAACTGCCCTACAGAAAAGTTACACTTAAAATTTTGCAAACAAATCCTTGGCCTCCATCAAAACGTATCAAACTATGGTGTATGCACTGAACTTGGCCGCTTTCCCCTCTATACCAAAATACAGTTTGCATCTGTCAAACTATGGTGTAAAATTATTCAAATGTCTGATGATACATTAATGAAACAAGCATACATACAAGAGATAAAAAGTTACAAGTTGCTGACCCCCTTTGTTCCATCCGCAGTCCACACACTCAGACCAGCTTGTATGTCATGGTCTGAGGGGATCCGAAAACTTTTCACATTTGGCCTTGGGGATGTGTGGCTTAGCCAGTCACCTCCAAAAAACTTCACCACAATTTTCAAACAAAGACAAATTGACCACTTTACCCAAATATGCAATAGCAAACTTGAAGCCAACAGTAAATTGTCTCTCTTCCGTATACTTAACCAAAAGTGTGAAAGGGCAACTTATGTTGATAAAATGACAAATTAGGACACTTTGTCAACCCTTGCTAAACTACGTCTTAGTAACCATAAACCCACATCGAAACTGGGCGGCACACCAGGCCAAAAACTGAAAGGTGCGACAGAATCTGTCGCCTGTGCACCCAAGGGGTAACTGAAGATGAATACCATTTTATATTCCAATGCCCAATGTACAAAGCAGACCGAGTCACCTTTTTTTAGTAAAACCTCAATCCTAAAAGCTGATACAAGGTCACCAGACACTCAATTATGCCATGTATTTAACAGTGCCAACAAAGATAATTTAGTGGCCCTCTCCAACTTTATAATAAAATCATTCAAGAAAAGAAATGAAGTGGTTGCTCTACTTGATAACTCTTAGGCTGCGTTCACATGAAAAATCTATTTTCTAAAAATCTAAAAATCTATTTGCGGTATCTTGTGATCACGGTCTGTGCCCTGAATACCCCGCGGCGTAATTACTGGCAGCGCTGAGAATTAATTACAGCTTTGGAAGTAACTGGCTCGCGCTGCCCGTAATTACGCCGTGGGGTATTCAGGGCATGTATATTTATATTCACTGGCTTGTTTTTGGAAAAGGTGGCAAGTTGAATGTTGATGAGCACTCTATTAGATTTGATTTGATGATGATGATAATTATGATATTCGATATATAAAGCATTCAAACTACATACGTTAAAAAAGGTGAAGTACATTGGCTCAGGAATGAATTTTGTAAGTCGATGCAACTGTTTCACGAACAAGTCAAGCCACGGAAACAACACTGATAGTCGGATTGATCAACAACGTTACTCTTTAATCAATTAAGCATACAATACATCATCTTCTCAATACATACCTGTAAAGCACCATGGCCAGTTGACCGCACTCGGTCTAAATTCTGCTTTGCCAGGTAGAACGCTTGGTGCAAGTTGGTCATGCCTCCCTGATAGCGCACCTGGCCGAGCCTCGTTATGAACTCGCATTTGTCCAGCTTCGACTCCAACTCCAAACTAATGTGGACCTTGGAATCGTTTCCAAATGTGATAATGCCGACCTGAGCAATAACATTTATTTATTTATTTAATAATTTATTTATGAATGCGCTCATAATTATCCTTCAGTGCCCTTAAACGTCGGCAAAAGGAGGGACAAGCGACGTCCAATGGAGACAGCTGCATGACCGAGATTGACAGTAAAATAGTGTACTGGCTCGTTCCGTGGCTCAGTTCGTAGAGTTCTCGCACGCGACGTGAACGTTCTGTCCACCACCCCTATACGACCTGAGAGGCCAGCTTCCAACTTCTCACGGCCCCACATAGGAGACACAAATGTAAAAATTATCAACAAAGAATATGCATGATTGTCTTTATTCATCTTTTTTGTTTATCATTTTAAAACATATGATAACGTTGAAGAGTTAAATAATTCACGATAGCGAAATAAAACCTTAAAACGAAATGAAAAAACAATTCTGACAATTTAGCGATATTTTAAATATCCTCAAGTGTTAGTTTAAGCGACATTGTATTAAACAAAGCTTTAAACACATAAATCCTAATTGCGTATTTACTGAAAAGCCAAATTATGTTTTCTGCTTTCGCTTCATATTTCGTTTAAATGAACCAGCATGTTGAAATTAGATCCAGTTTTGTCATTAACTGCAAAATCCGGGTTTACAGTTAGTGGCACGTGTTGGGAACAGGCTTCTTAGAAGAAACTGCCGTAAGTCGTAAAATAATCTTGACTTTTCAACGGAGAGCGTGTGTATACATTGATAAGTTTACTTAAGTAAAGCTACAAGAGATTCTTAACCCTGCTTTAAAAAGATGAGAAATGGCAAATGAGTCAACCACGTAAAATCACTTTATTTTGGTGGAGTACTTTAGGTGCACATGTGATTGAAATAAACTAAAAGTTTTCTGTTTTCTATTCCTTATTTGAAGCCGGGTCCTGTTCTGTAGGTTTACGCAGCTTTTAGCAGAAAGTAATTCGGTAATTAATTAAAACTTTCAAATGCCTTACTTTTTTTAATATATCATTTCCGACTTGCTAATTACAACACTGTAGTCTCAGACACAAAGCCAACTGACCTGGCAAACATTTTTTATCGTTTTACGTGCTTAAAACAAAATATGATTTTTTGGGGAAAGAATACATTAGTGTTGTGCGAATTTATTTGTTGTGCATATCGTCATACATCCAGAACTCAATCATGCGGTTTTCCAAAGAAATAAGATGCCCTGGAGAGGAAAAAACAGGTTTTATAGAGGCTTGGAAACTTGATTCTGTAATTAAAACTAAGTAAGACCAATAAAAAACAAAAGATATACAGCAGATGCTTGACAAGTGTTAGTGCTTATCGAACTCCTGTTTCCTGCAGACTTTCGGAGAATCGTGTTGTACTGGCAGTAAACAGAATGTGCTCACTTTGACTTAACTGCACTTTCACAGAGATACATGAATAACATGCATCGGAACAAGCAATTTTTTTAGTGTGGGTTTAAGTATGAAGGCTGAAAAGACGAAATAAAAGAAAAGAGCACATATCCCAGCGCAGACACTACAATTCTAATTAAAGTTACAAGGGTAATAAGTTTACATGTCTGGTGAAATAGTTGTCGTTGATGAAATGGTGCATACCCTAAAATTCAGGGCTCAGTATGTTTTGTTGTTTTAATAATAGATCTCAGAGCAGTTAAGTTTTAAACTCGTCCGTATCCCCATTGCTTTTTATTGCTAAACAGTGCCGCTGCACGGCAAAGAGCGCCATAGGTTACAACTCTCAGTTCACAATGCAGGCAGGTCGTTTGCTGAATGTGTTGATACTGGCTACGTTCGCCATACTGGTAAGCCTCTCTCTCTCTCTCTCTCTCTCTCTCTCTCTCTGTGTGTGTGTGACTGAGACACGATGCACTTTTTTTGCTATGTATGGTTTACTCAAGCCACCACATATGATACACAACAAGTATGTTCTTACCGAAGAAAGTAAAAGCAATGGCGACAAGTGTGGTGATATACAAAATCTCTTATTCAGAGATTACTCTCGGTAGCGTTGGTTAGAGGATTAGATCAATGATTAGGAAAAAAGGATGTCCATGTTAAGCGGTCAACATTACAATACGATCCAATTTTCTGACGACAATCTCACACGGCGTGATCCCGGATGCTACTGTACCATCCACTTAACAAACTAAAAAATTAAACGTATTCGTTGTTTGTGAAATATCACAACTGTAGTTATTGCAATTTGAACATCAGTAGGCCTACTTAACTTTCAGCTTCGTGATAATACTAACGATTTTCAGAATATGACGCAATATTATCAAGTAGTGACCTGTCTGTAATTCAACTACGGGCGTTAAAACTTACTTATATTCTGTAATTCAAACTGACTCATACAATCAAATGCTTCTCATGATATTTCCCATTTATTATTTCAGAAGACATGCGGCAGAACAAGTAAGTTTAATTTATCACGGAATGTCAGATCTGCCATGCAAATAGTTCGTTTCATTGTTTTTTTTTAACTTTCGTAAGTGCAAGTCCATTCAAAAAGTCCCGATAAGTTAGTGCAAGCAGACAGACTCGCCTCAAAATTTCAGCTGCGTGGGCTTAAATGGCGAATATTCAGGTCAACTTTCAGGGTTTCATACCCATTGCATTATAAAGATGCTACATGTCAAAGTATTTTATTGTAATGTGTATTGTCATAAGGTATAAATCAATTGATCATGAAAAATCTTTTTACAAAAGCTTTTTAAATACATACAGGGGTATATTCATTTATGTATTAAGCAATACTTTTCTAAGAGCTATAATAAAAAATCTAATTTGTTTGCAATCTTAATAGAAATTTGAGTACATTAAGGTAAGGAGCGTACAGTTGTATATATACTTACAGTTATCATTTTTACAAAAGACGTGTGACAGGATTTCATTTTTAAGTAGAAAAATCTGTATGCAAGTTCCAGACAGGTGTATATTTTTCATTTTTAACAAAATAATCTAATAGTGGGATATGAGTGATGTTTTTTTAATGCAGCCCAGAGCCCGTGTGACATTAACAATGGTCAGTGCAGTGACTTTTGTGTCCCGTATCCAAACTACCAAATACCGTACGACGATCTTCCTTCTGGATACTACTGCGCATGTCCTAGTAGGAAAATGACATTCAGGGGGACTCTTTGTTTGCGTAAGTGTAGAAATGTGTGTATGTAAGGGTGGGGGTGGGGGTAAGCGAGAGTGTGGGTGAGTGGGTATGTGGGTCGATTTGTTTGGTGAGCTGATTGGGGTTGTTTTGTGAATGCTCGATGTGTGTTAATTCTTATTTTTAATTTTGAGCCATGTATTCAAGGTGTTCTCCATGAAGCTTGAATAGGTTGTTATTTAGGTTTTGAATCGCACAGCTGAATAGCTACGTATTTATTTATTTATATCTATTAATACGTGAAGTGCGTGTTTATATTCCACAGCCATATTCTAGAATTAATTTTATTTGAAGTACAAAACGAACATATTAAAGTATGATTACACACAGTTGTAGGACGATTAAATGAAATGTTAAAGCCCAAGTAGTTTTGACACAAACCCTAGGCATTTAAAAATATTATCTTATAGTTTCTTTTTTTTTTTACAGCACGAAACCATCCCTGTTTTAATAACCGCAATTGCAGAAACTCTGAAAAATGTGTCCCCACGGGAAGCCGAGACGGACACGGTTACAGATGCGACTGTAGGGAGAGCTATATTCCCAGAGAAAATGGAATCGGATGCCGGCGTAAGTTTTTGTGCCATGTTCGAAGTATTATGTTTCTACTGTGTTTGTGTTCCCTTGGGGTATGCAGGGTTTTGCACATCCCCCCCTCCCCCCACCGCCACCGTGCTTTATTCGTTTCGCTGGCAAATCTACAGCAGTAGATATATGTACATTTGATATCATGTAATATTAAAAGAGCGAACTGAACCAGCAATTACCTTAAAATAACCCCTAGTCCATTCTTATCAACATTAAATACAGTTGCCCCTGTGAGACGCACTACGCCAGCACAGACTACGGAAGACGGGGGCCAACGACGGACTCTCAGGACCAGAATAACCCCAGCACCTGTCTTCACTAATCTAACCACACCTGCGCACACCGCGGCACCTCACCCTTGTGACGTCAACAATGGCGACTGTGAGCACATGTGTAGGAGAACATCATCGACGATACGTGTCTGCGAGTGTCGTCTAGGTTATAGGCTGTACACCGACGGTGTATCATGCGAGGGTAAGACAGAGCCTCTATTCAACCAGTGTTCGCTGGTTTCCTTGTTTAAAAGTTAAAATATTTTGAATTTGTTTTTAAAATGTCTGGTTTTAGTGGATACCCATATACGGTATGCAGGTAAGATTGGCAGTTTTTCGTTTCGTATATTCCAAATTAGTTCACTGGAAAGGGAATCTCATTGGCATGGGGCTGAAATCTTAACGCTCTAGCACTTTTTTAAATAATAAAAACATTGGCCTGTAGCTATTTTCATAATTGTATATTACATTTGGCCTGTCGCTATGACCCGAATCCTGAAGTCCACGCGTTTCATAGCATTAACGGTGACTGCACTTGTTTTGCAAACACTCAGCGTTTTCCGGGATATTGCTTCTCTGGCACTCCAACCCCCAGAGTATCAGAGTAGTGACCAGTGACTCATCTCGATCTGACATTTTCCAAAAACATAACTTGCTTCACCACTTGTTGAGCAGTATTGCTTACCATACCAATGTTTTTATAAACGTAACTAAAATAATAATTCAACAATCTGTTAACATCGATTTTTGCAGAAGCAGATCCTTGTGAAGACAATGGCGGGTGCAGTGACGTCTGCATAGCTAACTGGCCTTCTCGCACGTGTGGCTGCCGTGTTGGTTACAAGCTTGACGGTGACCAAAAGACGTGCATAGGTAAGTAAAATTTTCAATTTCTCCTTATGCAATATACAATTATTTACTTTTGTTCTTTTTTGGCTAATTTATTGGTATCTTTTATTTATTTATTTATTTATTTATTTATTTATTTATTTTAATTAATTAATTAATTTTATTCATTTATTATTACTTTTTTTGATTGATAGTAAACATGTCTCAAAAGATTTTTCACAAATTTTGACAAGGCAAAGCAATTCAGGAGTAGCAGTTCTTCAGGGAAAAAGAAGTTATTCAATTTCAGTCTCCTTACATTTATTTTTCAAAATATCAAAATTGCCTTTTTCATTGGTGTATACATGTCCTCTGGGTGTTCTGTCTGGTAGTTTATTATTATTATTATTATTATTATTATTATTATTATTATTATTATTATTATTATTATTATTATTTCCCTGCAGATGTGGACGAATGTTGGGTGGGGACTACCCAGTGTGAACAGGATTGTATTAACGTACCTGGGTCTTTCCGCTGTGCATGCCAACGTGGATATAGCTTGAAACAAGGAAAAAGATGTGAAGGTAAACCATAGAGATAAATACATAGTGTACAAGTACCGGCTGAGCATCAGAAGCCTATTTTACTTTTTTTAATTTTAATCTTTTCTTTTTTTTTTTTGGGCTCTGTCCATTTGAGTTTTAGTGATTCTCTTACACCCCATTCTCATAGATTAGATCGACCTACATTGGATCGACCTAACTCCCTGGGGGTTCACGCTAAATAGCTGTCAGCGGGCGGACACGAAAGTTAATTACCCCTTAAAGCTTGTAGTAGGCGGGGACGGACACTTAAGGGGGATTATCTGACAGTAATCTAGTGAGACTCCCCGCGGTGATAGATCGATCTAAAAGTTGTGAGAACAGAGCCTTATAAAGCCCAAAAAAACCGACTTATGTGATATTTGAATAAGAGCACTTGTACACAGATAGGTGTAAATATTTTTCATTTTTACATAATAATCTAATAGTGTGATATAAATGATGTTTTTTTAATCTAGCCCTGAGCCCGTGTGACATTAACAATGGTCAGTGCAGTGACCTGTGTGTCCCGTATCCAAACTACAGAATACCGTACGACAATCTTCCTTCTGGATAATACTGCACATGTCCTAGTGGGAAAACACTATTCAGGGGGACTCTTTGTTTGCGTAAGTGTAGAAATGTGTGTGTGTGTGTGGGGGGGGGGGTTGAGGGGGGATGGGGATAAGTGAGAGTGTGGGTGAGTGGGTGGGGGGTAGGGGTGGGGATGGGGGTAAGTGAGAGTGGGTGTGTGTGGGGGGTAGGGGTGGGGATGGGGGTAAGTGAGAGTGTGGGTGAGTGGGTGGGGGGTAGGGGTGGGGGGTAATGAATGTGTGGGTGAGTGTGTGGGGGGGTAGGGGTGGGGGGGTAAGTGAGAGTGTGGGTGAGTGGGTATGTAGGTCGATTTGTTTGGTGAGCTGGTTGGGGTTGTTTTGTGAATGCTCGATGTGTGTTAATTCTTATTTTTGGTTTTGAGTCATGTATTCAAGGTGTTCGCCATGAAGCTTGAACAGGTTGTTGTTTCTAAAAGTTTTGAATCGCACAGCTGAATAGCTACGTATTGGTTTATTTGTATATATTAATACGTGAAGTGCGTGTCTATATTTCACAGCCAAATTCTAGAATTAATTTAATTGAAGTACAAAAACGAACATATTGAAGTATGATTACATACAGTTGTAGGACGATTAAATGAAATGTCAAAGCCCAAGTAGTTTTGACACAAACCCTAGGCATTTTAAAATATTATCTTATAGTTTCTTTTTTTTACAGCACGAAACCATCCCTGTTTTAATAACCGCAATTGCAGATACTCTGAAAAATGTGTCCCCACGGGAAGCCGAGACGGATACGGTTACAGATGCGACTGTAGGGAGGGCTATATTCCCAGAGAAAATGGACAGGGATGCCGGCGTAAGTGTTATGTGCCATGTTCGAAGTATTATGTTTCACGATATACTGTGTTTGTGTTCCCTTGGGGTATGCAGGGTTTTGCATACCCCCCCCCCCCCGGCCGCCATGCCCTTTTCCTTTCGCTGGCAAAGCTACAGCAGCAGATACATGTACATTTGATATCATGTAATATTAAAAGAGCACAGTGATAGAAGAATTGGTTATTTTTTGCTTTTGTTTTGCATTATTTTCATAATTGTATATTGCATTTAGCCTGTCGCTATATCTCGAATCCTGAAGTTCACGGGTTCCATAGCATTAACGGTGACTGCATTTGTTTTGCAAACACTCCCCGTTTTTCGGGATATTGCATCTCTAGCATTCCATCCCCCAGAGTATCAAAGTAGTGACAATTTCTAAAAAAGTAAGATGCTTCACCACTTGTTGAGCAGCCTTGCTTACCATATCAATGTTTTTATAAACGTAACTAAAATAATAATTCAACAATCTGTTAACATCGATTCTTGCATCAGTAAATCCCTGTGAAAACAATGGCGGGTGCAGTGACGTCTGCATAGCTAACTGGCCTTCTCGCACGTGTGGCTGCCGTGTTGGTTACAAGCTTGACGGTGACCAAAAGACATGCATAGGTAAGGAAATTTTTCAATTTCTCCTTATGCACACATATACTTTTGTTCATTTTTGGCAGTTTTTGTTTACAAAATTTCACAATCAGCACACATTGTGCTTCTTTATTCGTATTATTCTTATTATAATTATTCTTCATAGAAAATGTAGAATCTAAGGATGACATAATGGACCATTAAGACCCCCTTCCTTTTCTTTGGAATGAATTAATGCAAATTAAACCAAGTAATTCCCCATCGTTGTTAGAAAAAATCGCCCTCTTCTGCTGATAGAAGCTGTCCGAGGTAGCCTATGTTGAACATCTACGCAGCAGATGACGTCAAACGAGACCTGAATTGGAGCGAGATTTCACGAGAGGTGGGGTTTAAATCTGCCATCGCGAGTTCTCTCGGGCACAAGTCTATGTTATAGGATTGCATTTAGTAAAATTTGGCGTTGTCATGTAATTTGAGATAGAGCAACGCAATGGCGAATTGCTAATGTTGTGTCGCAGGGTGCATTGCAGTTAAAGTTCAGGGAGAAAACCGGGAAAATAACCATGGATGACGGACACGACTGGCGAGAGAAGTGAAGTAAAGAAATATAAGTTGTGCTTGATTAGATTAAAAGGACTGACTTAGTGCCGACCACATTTAAAGTACAGGTCAGGTCGCAGTATTTTGTAGGAAGAAAAGGACCAACTGCAGACAACTCACACCCGACACTTCATGGCATCACCGTATCATCAACGGTCGAGGGGCATATTAAAAAGTAAGTTTTGTGTGTAGTTTACAGAACACCATGGTTTATTTATGTTATACAGACCTAGTGTTTGTGATTAATAGTCCTTTACGGTAAATATATCAGAACAATTTTCTTATACCATTCCTGTCTCCATTACCCTAGGTTCTAGATTCCGGTATTGCCAGCTCGATCTTGATTTCATATATAACCCATAGTAGCTCTCTAGCGAACAGCGGCAACTCGGGGGCGTTCTTCTTCAAAATTCTGCCTGGGGCGCTTCCATATTTGGAAGTCACACGTCACAGCTGTGTCCGCCTGGATCCATATTTGGAAGTCATAAGTCTCGGACGTCACAGGTTTGGCCGCCTGAAGCTGCCTTTCCCGCCTTGCGCTGAAGTCTCGTTCAGGCGAGACAAGAAGCAATGCATTAAAGTGCCTGACGCGGAGTTAGAAGTTTGAATTGAAAATATCTTGCAGTCGAAGGTTAGTGCCACAATACAAGCAACATTCTGCTGTAAAAACTGATTTTCGTGTAGCCATTGCGCAGCCCTTATAGTGGTATCGGGCATGCAGTGTAGCTGTCAAATTTGGCACACGACAAGCACATGTATTGTGCACGTGTATATCTCAGGACTAAATGTTCTTTGATAAGCAAAAAATACAAAAACATTGGATATATCTTTTCTTTGCGAAGAATATTATTTTTTTTCACTTTACATCTTAAATACAGCAAATAAATTTAAATAAAGCAGAATCAAATTTGTTTTACGTTTTATTTTGGTCTGATGACATTCAACTGCAGATTCACTGCGGAGCAGTTCTATTTGATTGACGGAAACCTAACATGGCCGCTGGTCTTCAGTGCTAGTAAAAGCAAGGAGTTATAACTCCTTGGTAAAAGCGACTCCACCACAAGGTATATTTAGCAAGCTAGCTTTTACGTTGCTCTGACGCTCAGGGTACTCTCCATATAACGTGTACCTGATTTTGAAATACTGGTGAACCTTCCACACCTATTCAGTATACACAATGTTCGGTTGCATTTGTAACATTCCATGCCGGGTGGTCAGTTATGATAATTGCAAGTAAGGTAGAAAATGAGAGTTGGTATTTTAACAACAGCGTTTATCACATACTGATATATATTTCGGAAAATTAAGTGAGTTTTTTTATTTATTTTAGAACAAGACAAAAACGCGCACTGGTCAACAGCACATGTTATTGAACCAGGCAAGAACTGTGAGAGTCATGTGGTCAGGATAATCAGATGTTGAAGATTGCTCAGTGTATATTTAACTCTTATGTCCTTTAGTTATTATGTTGTTGACTTAATTACATCAGGAATCAACAGATGACATTTTTGCCTGGGTGTCACTTACAGTATCAGGCGTTTTCTTTATTATTTTAAATTGCAATATTTGGTTTTGTGAATATATAAAGGCCTGTGTATTGCACTGCACTAGTAATTTAATGAAGAAAATAATATTTCTTGCTAGTATCATTCTTATGTTACTGTAGTGACTTTTTTGATAACTAAATGACACCTGTTTTTCATATCATTTACTCAGATCATAAATATAAGTTCGCCTGTGATTTTGTGTTTATTTGTTGTATTTGTGTATAACTGTTAATAAAAAGGAATGCTTTTTTGAAAATTTCAACGTATATGTTGTCCATTTTTAATACTTTCTTTTGTCATCTTTCCTGTCATTTAAGCCAGATCTGATCACAATAAAACTAACATTTTGTGAATGCTATCCCTTAGTTTCTATAGCACCATTTTCCTAATTGTATATTGCATTTGACCTGTCGCAATGACCCGAATCCTGAAGTTTACGGGTTTCATAGCATGAACGGTGACTGCACTTGTTTTGCAAACAATCCCCGTTTTTCGGGATATTGCATCTCTAGCACTCCATCCCCCCAGGGTATCAGAGTAGTGACCAGTGACTCTTCTCTAGCTGATATTTTCCAAAAACATAAGTTGCTTCACCACTTATTGAGCAGTATTGCTTACCATAACAATGTTTTTATAAACGTAACTAAAATAATAATTCAACAATCTGTTAACATCGATTCTTGCAGAAGCAGATCCTTGTGAAGACAATGGCGGGTGCAGTGACGTCTGCATAGCTAACTGGCCTTCTCGCACGTGTAGCTGCCGTGTTGGTTACAAGCTTGACGGTGACCAAAAGACATGCATAGTAAGCAAAATTTTCAGTATCTCCTTATGGACACACATATTTACTTTTGTTCATTTTTAGCAGTTTTTGTTTACAAAATTTTCACAATCAGCACACATTGTGCTCCTTTATTCGTATTATTACCACCGCCAAGGAGGTTATGTTTTCATCAACATAACTCAAATTTTGATGAAATTTTCAGGAACTGTCAGAAGTGGGCCTAGGAGGAGGTGGTATGGTGGTAAGAAATAGGTGGGAAATGATCGGGATCCAAAAACCTGACGTTTTTGCTCGGTTTTTATACTAATAGTTTCCACAACGATAATTCTATCGGTTGGCGTGACGTCACAAAATGGCGACCGCCTTAACATCCATTTGATCGGGGGACGATTTGATGCGACTTCCGGTTTCTCCCCATAGTTTGTGGTGGACGGGCGATTAAAAATTGCTCATCAAAAAAGAGTGGTTTGCTATATTTAAACAACTTTCAACTTCACAGCAGCGTAACAGTATGATGAGGGACTATCTCCAGAAGCACAGAAGAGATAAAAAGAGAAACTAGAGCTTAGCATTTTGGATATTTCTCCGCAAAAATTTCCTGCAGACGCGTGGGTGAACGATCGCAAGGGCAGCGAAAGGAATGGCCAGAGCGTGTACAGTAGCTTATTATAGATTAGTATAACCTCTTTATCATCCCCCCCCCCAGAAATTGTGTACTTGCTATTTTAAAGAAAGTGAACGATTCAATAGTTTGATATACGATTTAATCAATGAATCCTTTTCTCATTTAGTTGACAGTTTTATTTCGTGTTTTACTCTCTTTTTTGTCATTTTATAGTAAATACATATATGTACAATTCAACTTAAAACTGCAAGAATAAATATAATTATTATTATCATCAATATACTAGCTTCACTATAAAGTCAGTATTACAAGCTATCTGTTCTGAATTTTTCTTTAATTATAAAAAATAGGTTTCATCCGCTTTTAGGGGAGCGACACGATAGAGTTAAAATCGTAGCTCAAAATTTATAAATATTTAATGTGTATCGTTTATGACTTTAACCAGGTAGACCGAAAAAGAATAAATTACACTCAATTAAGCTCATGTAAAATCTTGTGAAAGCGATGCGGTAGTTGAGACTCCGGTTTTACAACCTAGTATGCTCTGATCAATTTGAATGTTACAGTGGATGTTGATTGTAGCGCATTTTGTCCGTTTTGATGCCGGCGGAACGCTTTCCTTGCGACATTTTTCCCCTTAGGCGTATTCTCAGTCACACTGTGTTGGCTTTTCTTTGTTTTTGACTTGAATCGTGTTTGTTAATGACGCGGTATCGGAGAGAGAAAGAGAGCGAGCGAGCGAGCGAGAGAGAGAGAGAGAGAGAGAGAGAGAGAGAGAGAGAGGAAGGGAGGGGGTTTAGATCGCCCACCTGTAATAAAGATGCACAATCACACAAACTGTTAAGTGACCGAACCACAAGGCTTAACTTGCGCATTTCTCTCTGATATATAAAATGCATTCCTTGTTTAGAGGAACGCTAGAGCTTTGTATACTCTACTAATGAGTTTGTATTATTTTTGTTAAAATAAAGAGACGGATGTCTTGTATCTGTATGTTTCTATCTTTATGTAAACCCAACATGGAAAATATTTTTACTCGGACAGTAAAAGAATCTAAACACGTTTCAGCTGATTCCACATTTTAATAGTCACAAGATAAATAGGTGACAATATTGTTGACGTGTAGAAGTGGAGCGATGACAACGAAACGTCTGCTATATGTCCATGAAAGAGTTATTTGAGACCGAATACGCTTTATAAGACGCATTCGGATATCAACATTAATCACTGTTGCATAACTGTTTATCGGTAACCAGGGTTTCTAATTATGGCGATTCCGTATCATCAACAAATATCTACGATGAAGGCCGCGTTTGTGTTCTATCCTTGGATTCTGAAACCACTGAACATGTTTCCACGGTTAGCCAGCCTCGAGAGCGTGCGGCTGGCCACGGCGGCCGACGGGAACTCATAGATGTACTCCTCTTTCGGTTCGGACGCCATAGACTCGACTTCTCTCCGGGCAGAACTGTTGGCTTGGTTGACGGCGTCTCCGATGGGCACCACGTAGATGAGGATGTTGTCCCCTGTAACATAATACACACCGTGGTTACTTGTAGGTGGTATAGCTCTCTCTCTCTCTCTCTTTCCGTTCCCTCCCTTCCTTTCTCCATCTCTCTCTCTCTCTCTCTCTCTGTCTCTCTTTTCCTCTCTCTCTTTGTTCTCCCCTCTCCCTCTCTCTCTCTCTCTCTATCTTTCACTCTCTGTTCTCCCCTCTCCCTCTCTCCGTCTCTCTCTCTATCTCTCTCTCATTCACATGCACAACTACAGAGCTGCAAACCAAAAGAGTCAATGTCAGTTGACCAAAATGAACAAGAACTCAGGGGCACCACTAGGTTTACATCTTGTGAAGCCCTACATATATTAACCTGGCAGTTTTTGACACCGAATTAACCGTTAAATATAAGTCGTCGATTATATCACATTGGAATGGAGGCAGAGAAATATTTACGCACAGGGTAAATACTGCCTACATGTACATGTTCATGATAAGACGCTCCCATATAGCGTATAGCGCTACGGGGTATAATAATAATAACAATAATAATAATAATAATAATAATAATAATAATAATAATAAAAATTAACCCGCAGGGGTACAAGTAGTTGCCAGAGCAGGCACCTTGGAAATATCTGAGCTACTGGATACAGTGTACTTAAAATTGTTAACGTTTAAGTTGGAAAGGAAAGTGCAGTCACAATACTAACGCCTTAAGGCTGCGGCAGGGATCCCCGGTTTGGGCTGTACGTTGGACTCGCCGTCCGTGAGGACCCAAATCATCTTCACTCTGCTCGGGTCGCTGCCTTGGAACACCTCTTTGGCTTTCTCCAGGGCCGTTCCCGTAGCTGTCCAGCCTCCTGAATTAGACATAAAATATTTATTGCTCAGTAAAATTGATAAATACACATTGGGTAAATTATTGTTCGATTAAAAATTTAACAACTGTTCGAATTTGACAAAAATGTTTTTTCCCGGATTAAACGACAATTTTCACATATTTATCCAAGGTTATTCAAAATTAGTCGTTGTTTTTTCTAAAACAGTTCGTTTGTTTTTGTAATAATCTCTTAGTATCTATGGAGGCAAGCACATGTTCCAACATAATTTGCGACAACAGCTGTTTTTCGAGGTAAAATGGAATTCATATTATTTTAATGACTTGTTTACAAAGTGTAAGGTTTAGTTTACTTTTGTTGTGATTGAGGAGCCTGGTGTCCAGCTCATCTAATGCATTCATTTGCATAAATGACAAGTTTTCATTCAGGGTGGTGCCACATGAGTTTTGCACTTTATTTCATTCATCACAGTGTCTCCGTAGGAGGAACACATAGTACTCTTACTTTTGAATCTGTTATTTCTACTTGAAATTTATAGTTTAAAGGAATGGCAGAAATGGTGAGTTTTAATACTGTTTATTGATTATTATTGATTATTGATGATTAGTTTTTTTTTTATTATTGGTGATTATTGAAATGTATAAGTTTTTTGAGTAAGTAAATTTGAACACGTAAATAACCGTTAGTAAGTACATTGTTGTAATTTTCTTTTTCTTTTCTTCCTTTTTAGTTTTTACGTGTCTTGTGAATCCATGTGAATAAACCAAGATCCGGTGAAAAACACATGCCTTTTCTTTGAGTTTTATTTAACCTATATAACCCCTGCGTGTTATACAAAGTATTTATTTGGAAGGGATCTCTTATTAAGAGATGTTAAGTAAATGAATGACTGATTGACCACATAAATTAATGTATTTAATTAAATGAAAGAAAATGTAATTGTTTTAGGGGAGAAATGTTCTTTTACGTCTTTAGAGAGCAGGCGATTTATAATGTATAATAACATAACCTGAAACATTCACATTTTAAGTTTATGATTAAAATCCTCAGAATGAAATACTACTGTGACTTTTAACTTAAAAGGCTTAACGGCTGGTTACCTTTATCATGAGTGAGGGCATCGATCGCCATCTTGACCTGGAGTTCAGTTGGTTTGGCGCCAAAACCAAACTGCATATTGGTTTTAGATATTTCTGAAAACTTCATGACAGCGATGCGTGATCCACCCGGCTGTATGGGGGTCTGCTCGTGTACCACGGCCACGACGTCCTGAAAGATACCAAATAAATAAATAAATAAATAAATAAATAGAAATTAAAACACCCTACCGAACGAATGTTTTTGCTATTAAACTTTCATATAATTTAATTGAATAAGGCTCGACATGTATAGTATTACTGGCATCGATTTTATTACAATAAGGTTGATATCTTTCCCAATTATGCGGTTTCTCATTAAAAAGACATAATCTCCCACACATAAAATGCAACTCTTTTACTTATACTGTTTGGTTTCCTTATACTGCTACTACCCTCTCAAGGCTGATTACATGGCTGGTTATTGTTTGCATAACTGCTCAGGCACTGCCACTTAGCAGGTCCTGTCTAAGTCTGCGTGACAGCAATCAAGACAGTTAATTGCTCTGACTTTAATCACTTGCTCTTCTGTGACAGAAAAAAAGCCTTAGACTGGTTGCGTAACGAGCAGTTATCACATCGTTGTGAAGCTCAGCTCATGCAGAGCAAGTACAAAGCCTTTGGCGCGCGCGCAGAGATAATTGTTTCCGCATGGGATTTCTCAACAGGGTGAGTTTGAATCAAAATGACCATCTATCTATCTAGAGACATATCTGTGAATATCTGTGAAAAATCTATCAGTCGCCCTGTTAGAGGGTATACTGCTACTGCATTTCGTAATATGGTGCATGCTGTAAGAAAATGTAGTCTCTCCCCCCTCCCCTGATGACGACACATCCTGTAACTGTAAAAGGCACATTTTCTTGTCTACTAGTACGTATATTTACTTAATCTGCAATGTAATTCGTGGCACTAACCTTCATAGCCTGCTTCAGGGTGTAAAACTCGCTCTCTGAGATGCTACCGCTGCTGTCCAACACAAACAAGAGGTCCACTTTGGGGATACCTGAACCTGAACCTGAGGCGCCATTGCGGGTCAGGCCCCGGAAACCCCCTGACGGACGCAGACGGCTGATGAAGCCAGATCTTATAGCGGATTCCACGTCCTGCTCACTCCTGTACACACTCACTGTTAGGATGGAAGACAGACGAGTTAAATCATATCCCAGGCCGTGCTAGCTGTCACAGAATTGGGTAGGGCAGTTTAGTGCCAGCTAGAATTGCCACTGGTACAGAACAGTTTAAGGTCACATTCAGAACATATGATCCGCGGATCAACTTGTTCTGAACGCGCTCTAATACCAACATGTCAAGCCCAGGTATACACCCTGTACATCTAAATAAGTTATATAAATGAAAAGTTTGACTCCCATCAATAAAATGGTCAATCTAATGACCCAACTTTATCACTCTTGTAACATTACACAATAGGCAAGGATACGTTTGAACGATTAAAACGGCGTTCATGTCCTTTAAAGATTTTAAGAAAGACGTTAGCAGATTCAAAACAGCTTCACAAGCCATGAAAATATAGACACACCTTTTCCTTATTTTGAAGAAGAACACAATATTAATTTTGATACCTAAATGGCAGCTACAGGTAGCTAGGCTAGTTTTGGGACAAAATAAACAAAAAAAAAAAAAAAA